ATGATGTGACCAAAGAACTCCAGGAGAGGGGCTGTGGGGCTCACACCCCCTCAGTGAGTTCATCAGAGGGTTCTGAAGATGACAAACCCACAAAAAAACATAAAAAAGGTAAAGCGTTAAGACCCAAGAGAAGATTCTGGGTAGTCTTAGTGTTTGCTCTTCCTAGCGTTCCCTGAGAGTTGATAATCATTTCTTACGTATGAAGGGGAAAGGTGTGGGGAACCTCACTTTAACTGGGAAAGGAGAGGTGTCAGTGGAAGACTGATATTAAGGGCTGAATTCTGTCTCCTCCAAATTCATATGTTGAAGTCCTAATCCTGCAGTGCCTCAGAATGTGACTGTATTTGGAGGCAGTGTCTTCAGAAAGGTAATTAAGGGTGAGAATTGCCTTATACAGCAACTTGACCTATCAAGGGGGCCAGACATCCAAGTTGCCTTCTCGGAGACACTTTCTGGAAGTGTCGATTATGACTGCTTCCCAACTGCCGCCAGCAGTGCTTTCCTTTTGCATACCTTCCCCTCCTCCATCTTCCTTTCCTCATTGGTTGTGCCCCTTTTGTCCTCCAGACAAAAAGGAGAAAAAGAGAAGAAAGAAAGACAAAGAGAAGACTGACCGGGAGGTCCAGGCGGAGCAGCCGGCCCCCTGGTCGCCACCCAGAAACAAGGTGGTAAGGGAAAAGGACGACCCTGGCTCTAAAAAGCACAGCAACAGGAACTCAGAGTGGGGTCAGAAGTCAGAGCCCAGGGAGGTGCGGAAGCACCAGCCCAGCTCTCCCGAGGTCAGGGCGACCTGCCGCGGTGGAGAAGGGGACAGAGAGAGGGAGCCGAAGAAAGAGAAGCCGAAGCATGAACATAGGTCCTCAACCAGAGAAGAAAAGAACCGAGATAGAGACCGAGGCCGAAGCTCAGACACACACTCCAGCCGGCCCAGTGGGCGTTCTGAGGGGCGTAGTCAGCGGAGTAGAAGCAGGAGCTGGGAGAGGTCCCACGGGCCGAAGAGGGCCCGGCGCTCACGGGACCAGGAGTCCTCTAACCCCGGTGACCGCAGGCACCACTGAAGCTGCGGCCTCTCTCTCTTCCCAATAGAACTGGAACTGGAAATGCACTTGGTCTTTAAAATGCAATCGTGCTTAGTTATGCTTTTCCTGTTACTGTAAGTAAAATCTCGGAGGCCGGATTCTTCCAATTCCTTGAGTATTAGAGTCATTAAGAGCTGTAGTTTTAACAGCCCCATAGGCCTGGATTTTTGAGCGAAATCCATTGTTCCTGGGAATATGCTCAGTACTTACCAGAGGAGGTATTCTAAATTTGGTTTCATAAATGTGGCCCTTGAATTTACGACCCCAGTGTATGATGAAATTGCCAGGAAAGGGGAAATAGCAGGCAATTCTAGAATTCTGGTCTTTGTGCTAGAGGTGTAGGTGACCTTTCCAGTTGGCAGGTACAGCCGTGCATAAAGAAGGGTGGTTTAACTAGGTCTAGACAGCTCGATGTGAATGGGATAGTGATTCTCAACGCCAGGCCGCTCCCTCTGCACCCCACCCTCTTTTTATTTTTAAACGTCTCTTTCTTAACATCCACGCACCTCTTTGCTATTTATTTATTTCTGTTGAGGTGAAATTCACATAACATCAAATTAACCAATTTGAAGGGAACAATTCAGTGGCATTTGGTACATTCATAGTGTGCCAAACTACCGCTCCTATGTAGTTCGAAAACATTTTCATCACCCCAGAATGAAACCCTGTGCCCATGAAGCAGTTACTCCATTCCCTCCTCCTCGTCCCTGTTGACTACCAGTCTGCTTTCCATTTCTGTGGAACTACCTATTCTGGACATTTTATATAAGTGGAATCATACACCATATGGCCCTTCTGTGTCTGGGGTCTTCTACTTAGTATGTTGTTGAGCTTCATCCGTGTTGTAGCGTGGATCAGCACTTTGTTACCTTTTAAGATTTTTAAAAATTTGTCAGAGCGAGAGAGCACAAGCAGGGGGAGCGGCAGGCAGAGGGAGAAGCAGGCTCCCTGCTGAGCAAGGAGCCCGAAGCGGGACTCCATCCCAGGACCCTGAGATCATGACCTGAGCCGAAGGCAGACGCTTCACCAATTGAGCCACCCAGGCATCCCAGGACTTCGTTCCTTTTAATGGCTGAATAATATCCCATTGTGTGGATAGACCACATTTTGTTTGTCCATTCCTCAGTGGATGGACATGTGGGTTGTTTCTACCTTTTGGCTAGCCAGCTCCCTTTCCGAGTTTCAGACCTACCAGGCTACTTGTGGGCTGAGTTTCCTTTTCAAGTAGCTGTTCTTGCTGAGATGGGAATACTTTGTCAGCTTCATTGCGTATCTCTCTGGTCTCCTTGGCAGTTTTTTCTCATTTGGAGAATCTTGTCCTTTTATTTTGTCAATCAGTCCCTTATGAGTTAGGTAGGAATTAGTTCACAGGACCTTAATACTGCTGCTGAATCACTAAAATTGAACTTCTGATCCTGCAAAACAAAGGAATAGAGCTTTGATAGTGAGCACATTTAGTTTACCTGGTATGTTTGTTTGGGTCCAAGATTAGATGTGCGAGAGTTTTTTTTTTTTTTTTTTTTTAGGGGAAAATGCCCATGAAAGAAAATGGGAAAGGAGGTTGGAGGAGTCTGGGAAAGCAGTCAGACTCTGATAGAGGTCTAACCTCTGGAGAAGAGGGAAGGCAAGAAGGAAGGTTGGGTAGGAAAAGTCTCACACTGCTGTGGAGTTATGAGAATGTGTCAGCCAGATCAATGATGCGGTAAGTCCTTGAGGCAGAGTACCTGTCACGAGGAGTCCCGCTAGATCAGCCTTGGGAAGCAGGAGTCCTTGCTCTTGGGCCTTTGTCAGCCGTGTGGCTCTGTGTTTATGTGTCCTTTGTGCCAGTTGTGTGGTGGCCGCTGACCAAAGGCCTGTGCGCCTGGCTTAGCCACTGTGTCTGCTTGGCAGTTTAGTGCCTCTTCCATGGTGGATGCTCTCATGGCTGTTAGCATGGGATACAGAACTAGTCACACTTTGCTCCTCCCACATGTCAGTCCACAGTCTTCACACCAGCTCTCCTTGTCTCTGATCTTCAGCCCTGGTGCTTCCAGTCCCCCAGCGAGACGGCCAGGCCATTGGCCACTGCCCAGGAGTCTGCATATCCGATAAATATTCTTACTTTAGGCCGCTTCTTTTACACCAAGTCAGGTGCACTGCTTGAGGTCCTGTCCATTGGAAAAGTTTTCCTTCTGCACCCCTGAATGTGGCTGTAATGCAGATACCATTCATCTTCATTTTGTACCCACATACTGAGCTGACCCACCTATAAACCAAGCTCAAGTTGTTTTCTGCCTCTGCTGGTCACAGAGGAACCCCCATTTGGCTATAGGTGCAAAGATATAGGGGCTGCCATTCTCTGTGTCTTTTAGGGAAGTTGCACTGTTCTACTCTGTCTCCCCTGAGCTGTAATACTGTTTTGATTTATGTATCAATTAGGGTTTTTCCAGGAAAACAACCAGGATATATGTATCCTGCCGTAAGCCAATTCCTAATGAGAAAGCCTACAGGCGTACCTCGTTTTATTGTGCTTTGCTTAACTGTGCTTCACAGATAACTGTTGTGGTTATTTTTATACAAATTAAGGGTTTGTGGCAACCCTGTGTCGAACAAGTCTTGGTGTCATTTTTCCAACAGCATTTTCTCACTTCGTTTCTCTGTCAGATTTTGGTAATCACAACATTTCAAACGTTTTCATTATGATTACATTTGTTATGGTGATCTGTGATCAGTGGTTATGATTTACTGAAAGCCCAGATGATGGTTAGTATTTTTTAGCAATAAAGTATTTTTAAATTAAGGTATGCACATTGTTTTTTTTTTTTTACACATGATGTTATTGCACTTAATAGACTACAGTAGAGTGTAAACATAAGTTTTATATGCACTGGGAAATAAAAAGATACAAGTGACTTGTTTTATTGCGGTCTGGAACTGAACCCCCAGTAGCTCTGAGGTAGGGGTGTGTGTGTGTGCGTGTGTGTGTGTGTGTCTGTGTGTGTATGTGTATGGCAAGGAATTGAATTATGCAGTTGTGGGGACTGATTAGGCCAGTCTGAAATATATAGGGCAGGCCGGCAGGCTGGAAACACTTGGGCAGGAGCTGAAACTGCGGTCCACAGGCAGAATTTCTTCAGGGAAATTGCAGTTTTGCTATTAAGTTCTTCAACTGATTGCCTAAGGCCCACCCCGATTATCAAGGATAATCTCCTTTACTTAAAATCAACCAATGGTAGATGTTAATCACAACTGTGAAATACTTTCATAGCAAAACCTAGATTGATGTTTGATTGACTAGTTGAGTACTTAGCCTGAGCCAAGTTGACACAGAAAAGTAACCATCTCAATTTATTGTTGTCCCTGGGGGAGGGGATCAGTTTCAGAGGTTCCCACTTGACTTTCCTCACCGTGACAGCTCTCGCCCTATTGGCCCAGGGCCCCTGTGGGCATTACTCTCAAGCACCACCTCAATCCCAGTTACACCCCTGAGGAGTAGGAAATGACCACTAGGTAGGTCTGCTGGTCCCCTGTGAGTCTTGTTTCAGGCCAGGACTTCAGTGATTACTCAACCCTGAACCCTGGGCCGTGGTCATGCTTCAGGTCTCTAGGTATCAATGTCAACTTTGATCTTGAGTCCAGTATTCCTCAAATGTCCGGCTATGTACACTGTGTATATACAGTGAAGTTAGTGGTTATAGGTCCCGTTAGGGGAAGTACTTGGGGGGGGATATTCGTCATTGTCCTTCCTTCTAGGGACCCAGCTACCTCTTCCAGGTCAGAAAACAGCTGAAGTCTGGAAACCGAGCAAGGAATTAGAGGACTTTTTATTGGGAAAGCTCCCTCACACCCCTGCTCCTCCACTGTTGTCTTTTTCAGCTTGTAGATCTCGATACCCTTGCTGGCTGTCCATCTGTATTATTCCTAGGGACACTTAGTCCATTTGCCATCTCTGCAGCTCCTTGAGGGGAAAGCTCCCTTGGCTGCCCCTCAGGCCTTGTGGTTTGTTTCGGTATTTGTGGCCTCCTGGCTTCTTTTTTTTTTTTTTTTTTTTAAATATTTATTTATTTATTTATTTATTTATTTGAGAGGGAGAGAATGAGAGATAGAGAGCACGAGAGCGAAGAGGGTCAGAGGGAGAAGCAGACTCCCCGCTGAGCAGGGAGCCTGATGTGGGACTCGATCCTGGGACTCCAGGATCATGACCTGAGCTGAAGGCAGTCGCTTAACCAACTGAGCCACCCAGGCGCCCGTGGCCTCCTGGCTTCTGGTGGGTAGCACCTCCACCTGGTCTCTATTACTCTGGGCCCCAGCTCTGTGATGGTCTCTTAACTGCCATCCCTGGCCTACAGAGGAGGTCACCTCTGAATGTAGTGATGCTGGTGCCCCTTTTACCACAGCCTTCCTGATGGCCTTGGTAAATGAGGTACCCTCTGCCTCCCGCTGTTCCCCCCCCCCGCCCCCACTGTGGAACACTACCCTCTCATGGGGTTTTTTACCTCGTGCAATTTATCCACTGCATCATGTCTGCTTCCCTCTGCCTTTTCATTCTTTCTTTTGCCGTTGGTCAGGGCAGCTCAGGCATTTCTACTTTGCTCAGTGGTAGCCATCACTTTCTCTAGGCCTCTAAGAACCACTTAGTAGAGACTTTGTATCCCCTGTGGGTCCTTGCCAGGGGATTAAATCTGTATTTTGAGGATGTGCTCCCAAGTCTCTGAAGTTTTGCTTTTCTGCCCCTCTTGATATATCACCCTTGAAATCCAACCCCAGTGTTTCCGTGGCTCCTGTCAGTACCCATCAGCTAATTCTTGCAGCTCTTTGGTGTATACTTTCTTCTCTTAATTAGGCTCAGGACTAACATGGCCAGGTTATGCTGGGATTTAATCCTAGTTATCAGCTTAGTAACCAGGAAAGGGGCCGGGCACAACTTCTCGGAGGGGGACGCGAGTGGCTTTGTTGGGGGAACAGGCTCTGCAGCATCTTCCAGCACAGAGGAAATGCTA